TGAGCATGGTAAATACCTGAAGCAAGCCATCCAGGAGTGGTGGAAAGAAAGTCCTAGGCAAGGGAGAGAGGAGTGGAGACAAGGAAATGATTATTTTTTTCATCTCTTTCTATGCAGGGTGAATTTGCTACTTCTGAGTATATTTGTTTTCTTAAGGTCTGAGCGGTGGGACAGTGGACTAATTTTGTTTTCCTCTCTATATTTTTCTGTACTAAAAAATCTAACGCAATTTTACAATGATAAAATGGTCCTGAAACATGGAAGCATTTAATTTCTCTTGGAAAGCTGTAGCTACAGTCAGGATATGATTTAATGACTATAAAAGTCAAGTAGTTGAACTTGAGCTAATCACCCACTAAATGTGATCAGTTCCTTGGCAATTATGTTAAAAATAAAAGCTCTGTGTGTGTTCTATGGTCAGCATTTTGCTAAGCTCCAATTAGGTTAGTCAGTACTCACTGACAGGAGAGTTATAATGAGAAAGTTCACTAAAAATGAAAGATTGACCCAAGTAGAAAAGAAAAGCATGCCCCGGTGGTTGTCTCAGGTGCAAATTTTAAAAAGAATCATTACTAATAGTGAGATCATTGCTGCATATGATGCTAATATTTGCTTTTGTTAGAAGGTACTCATTGGAATTATATAACAACAGTACTGTTATCTTATGTGAACAAGTACAAGAGCAAAATAATACTATGTAAACTCAGTTACTTGTTTTTAGGTAGCCTTTAGAAGAATCTTCTGAGGGCCGGGGATACAGCTCAGTGGTACACTTGCTTGCCTGGCAAGTGTGAAGTTGTAAGTTCGATCACCAGTCTAAAAACAAATAAAAAAAATCCAAAATAAACCAAAAAGAAAAAAAAGAACTTTTTTTGTAATGCATGAACTTATTTCTAAAAGAGTTAATTTTAATTATACAAGTTACCTTTGAGTAATCAAAATTTTAAATATTATGTTTATGTCCAAAGCCCGTTGACCATCATTATCCCAGTTTTCTCCAAAAAATAACCAATACAATCACTTTGATACATATTTGACTGATATTTTTGTATATATATATATATATATATATATATATATATATCACTGATAGCATGGTTATTTTTAAATAATATTTATGTATCTGCACCTATGTCTTGATTCATTCCAACAATTATCTTAAAGATATTTTTACATGCTAGAATTTTAAGACTGATTTTTTTTTATTTTGCTGCATACCAACTAGTCTACCCCGTGGTTATACCATGATTAAGCCATTTCCTTCCTGCTGGACATTTAATTTGTTCCATACCTTTCTCAGTTACAAACAGTGCAGCAGTGAATTCCACAATGCCCTCAGGCACGTGCTTGGGCAGTCCTTTTCACAGTGTGGTACCTGGACTAGCAACAACAAACTCCCCTGGGAACTTGTTAGGGATGCCGACTGCCAGCCATGCTCCAGACCTACTGACTGAGACTGAGGCTCGATGATCTGTAGTATCGTAATGACCTTTCCAGTGATTCTTATGCATAACATGTGAGAACCATTGGTGAGTGTGTGTGTACACTACACACATATTTGTGTATAGTCAGTTATCTTTTACTGTGACATACTCCTAAACATCCCTTACACTGTACAAAATTGCATTAATAAAAGTCACAGGGGTTGTAAGAAAAATGGGACTAGACACAACAATTAAAAATACCTTATGACATAAACAAAAGCTGGCATCCTAATAAAAATAAAGCATAGTTTGATACATGTTAGATGAGTAAATAATACAGATGCTATCATGAATATGGTACTTTCCCTTGAAAAGACCTGATGTTTGCCTATGGAAGTTGTGGGTGGAAGAGTTCCCTCTTATGAGCTATTGGATAGGTGATGGAAAAAAGATTGATATGGGAAGGAAAATGTTGGCACCAGATGAGGTGGGTGTGGCTTGTAACCCATGTGGTGAATTGGAGCAGTGGCTTACATTGAGGTGTAGATGTGGGTGTTTTGTGTATTCTCGTGACACAGCTCAGTTGTGTGCAGGTTTTTGCTTTTACCTGGCTTTCCTCATTGATAGAATTGCACATAAGGGAATGTGAAATTGGAGTTATGCCTGAAATTTTCTACAGTCTATCTATCATATTGGAAGAAATTGGTCTTTTTTTATATAAAAGAATACATTCTGTTAAGAATGAACTGACTATGTATCCACACATGTACCTTAATATATATATATATATATATATATATATATATTATGCAAAAAGAACTCCATAGAGTGTACTTTGAAGGTTTTCCACTTAATTTTTTCACTTAGTGTCTCTTAGAGGTTTTCCCTATATCACAGATGCTAATTTTTTGTGTGTGAAAAGGACTTTATACTACTACCAACATACCCCTTAACTCCTGGCCAATATTGCCTTTTATCAAATTTATTACTTACTTTTTGCCAAACCAGGAGTTAAACTTCAAATTTCTCTCCCCACCCCCAATGCATAATCACGTTGAGAGGTATGCTGTCCATAAATATACTGATAAAAAAAGAATCTTTAAAATGTGACACAGATGAGAGGTTCTGCAATGGGAAAAAATGAAATCAAGTGGATATGTGAAAAAAAATAAAACCCTATTAAAAATGAAGCCTAAAGAATTTGACTCTCTGCTTTTTTTTTTACCTTTGCTAACACAGCTTATCTACTTTATGAGATAAGATATTGAGTTGACCCCGTTGGGATTCCATCTATCACTCTAGCTAGTTGACATCTCCAAAAAATGCAGCTTACATTGTTAATCCATTCACTGCAGCAAAAACATGCCTAAGGGCATCAGATGCTTCTGTTTATCAGTATCAGGGTTCCATGGCCCCACAGGCGGAGAAGACACAGCTGATCAGGGTAATGTGATGGCTTTAACACTGGAGTCTGGGGCCCCTGAATGCAAAAGCTATATAAATTGAGGTTCATGAAGGTGTCAGATGTTCTCCTATTAAGAGGTTGGCAGTGAATGAAACTGTTTCCAGCTGGGCACATTACCACACAGGGCAGACATAATGATTTAATAATTAAATCATATTAGTTTATGATCATTGTTCTTATTAGGTGATATCACTGCTTTTGAATGATTTATTGAGTGAAGCTGAATTTTCATAAAAATACTGATTTGCATTTGTATGCAATATATACTTGAATATCTACCTATCTTCAAATTAGAATGACTTACTAAAAGTAATCACCAAAAATTAGCATGGAATATTTATGTGAAGACACCAAAGATATTTAAGGAAATGTAGAAATTATAAAGATTAATGTAACATTACCTTTTCAGATTCAGTCACTTAAATGCATTTTCTTTTATTTGAAAGCTGTAAAGAGAATTACTAGCTGAATCAGTCTGCTTGTAATTAGTTTTTGTACACCTTGGAATCTCAAACTATATTATTAATAAATTATATAAAATTACATTTATGTAAAAGACTTTTATGAAATCAACATTTGGCTTCTAATAAAGTCACTTCCTTGGGGTACTTTAACTCATGAAAAGGATTTTCAGTTTCAAGAAACCTACACAAGCTCCTCTGAAGCAGGCAAGGACATTGAAGAGGCCACCTCACTCCCACTCTCCTCCTCGCCCTTTCTTGCCCTCTCCCAGTCTTCCTTCCTACCCTCTCTAGCTGTCATAACTCATCAACCTAGAGTGCAAAATTTAGTGGTGAATTGCAAGGGCAAAACCAAGTATTTCTCTTACTATTCTATACCAGGGTTGGCTACATGACTTGCAGGAACTAGTGCAAAATGAAAATGCAAAGCCTCTTGTGCAGAAAGCAGAAGAGTGCCACTTTAGCCACTGAAGGTGATAAAATATAAAGCTTTGTCCTGTCTTTCATGATATCTCTCTTTTGATTTGTTACAGTATTTTATTTGCTATTTACTGTTACAAGAAAACTGAAATTTTATATCATTAGCATGAAATTTTCTGTTCATCTTTATATTCTATAATACACGTTTTACTGCAAATTCTGGAGCATTTAACAGGCATACGGAATTGTCAAAATGACACAGTTTGCATTTTCAAGCTTATGCATGACTATATTTTTTTTTCTTACCGATGAGGTAGAAAGGCTCTACAGAAGGAACTCAACCATTTTTATTGTACTTCTTAATACATATACAGTCTACCAATGCTCTCTACTTTAAGCATACTGATGAGTAAAGGAAGACTGAAAGGAAAAGAAATTATGGACTGCCCTATCTTTTCCTTCCTTCTGTTATTTTCAGCAAAAAAGGTTAGCAAATATAGGATATGACAGGGATCATTCAGCTTCTTAAAATACCGTTTCCTTCTTTCAGCAATACAGAATTTGGTTTGTATGGAAAGCATAGCCTCTTGGAGCTGTCCAAGCCCCAGTTCACTCAGTTCTGAGGAACAAGCTTATCCAATACTCTGTGACTCAACAAACTCGCATGCATTGTGGGTCTGCCAGAATCCTGAGTGCCTAGAAGGAATCACTAGTGGTATGTGCCAGCTGGGCACCTAGGATCTGCACTTACGTGTTTCCTCTATTGTCACACATATTCCATTGGGCCTGCAGACTCCGTTTACAAAATACAAGGTCACAGATTAAATTCAGAAGAATTTCAAGAGGGTGACAGTAGAATATTAAACCAAGTGTGGAGTACTTCTGCATGTGTGGCTTGTCTGATTACACATCCATGAAGCTAGGCCCTTTCTGCATCACAGGAAGCTGCTGACAGCCTGAAGGCTCATGTGCATGCAGAGTAGGGAGGGACTGAGTTCAAAGCAGATGGGTCACTCTCAGTAGTATATCTGTGCAAAATGGTGTCCTTGAAATGCTTCCAGTGAATTAATATTACCCTGGACAACTGGATCTCTTAGGTGGCCTCCAGTTTCAAAAGAAGAGGTCTTTCAGCTGAGAGGCTAGAAGGTTGCAGCTACAGCAGGAACCATGGACTCATCATTAAATCAGTCTCTCTATATCCTTAATAGTTTTTGTTTGTTTTACTCCTAGGATTTCCAGCAGGGGAGCTCCAGAAGCCTTTCTTTTGGGGAACAGAGTATCCTCGGTGAGTAAATTAATAAAGAAACCAATTATTGAGAAATTAGGAGAAAGACCATGTTGTTTTAGCAAAGGACAGTGTATAAAGTCAAAGAAGTCAAATCAGTAATAGTTCAGCAGACGGGGGTGTGGAACCTAGTGTGGGACGGCTCTACTCTTAACTATTTTGGGTATTTTTTTCTATTAGGTCTTTGTTTCTGGTTCTTCATTGCTGTAGTGTATAACTATACTGGAAGGCTAACTCATACATACATCTTTTTAATTTGTATGCATTTATTCACTTCAAAGATTATTGTAGGTATGACATTCTAAAACCTTTGCAGGTGAAGGAACAATGTAAGAAATATGCTTAGAGAAAGACAAAGTATTCTGTTGGGCTGTCTCAAGTGATATATGAAGGAAAATAGTCTGGAAAAGAAGATTGAAATCTGATATTAGATGAAGATCTTGGATACTAACAAGCAATAGAACATCTTGAAGTTTTTAAACAACATAATTAAATATGTCCTTTGAAATATTACTTGTGTAGTTATAGAGTAGGTCAAAATAGTGCCTGGATATAGGACTACCAGTTCAAAGGCTGTTAATAACAGTAGACTATACATTTGTACAATCCAGAATTTCCATATATCGTAGGGATTCTCCTAATATTCATTACCAATAACATCACCACTTTTATTCTATGCCTGTGTGCTCTGGTACCTTAATGTGTAAACAATTTTGCCTTGATTTTAGAAGTTGAGTGTTCTATGCTTTTCTTGGATATATAACAAACCCCTTATGATCACTGATGTTAAAAAAATATGGGATTGCATAATTATATAAATAAGATAAATACAGTAGCAGTGTTTTGATTTGGGATTCTCTGGTAGCAGGCCCTGTGATAAGGATTCAAGTGCAAGCAGTTCTTTTGGAAGGCGGTACCAGAAAACACAAGCAAAGGAGAGAGGAAGTAAGACAGAGAAGGAAGGAAGCCAATAGATTTTGTCCTATGAATCTTTTGTGGCTGCCAAAATGAATTACCACAAATTTGGCTTAAAATTACAGGTGTTGCCTAGAGTCAAGTTTCTATGATCCAACTTGGCTCTCACTAGGCTAAAATCAAGGTGTCTTCAGGGCTGTTTTCTTTGTGAAAGCTCTAGAGGAAAATTCTCTTTCCTCATCTTTTGTAGTCTTTAGAGATAGCCTGTATTTCTTGCCCCACACTCTTCTCTCTCTGTTTTCAAAGCTCCATAGCCCCATCTCTTTTTGAATCGCTTCTTTTGTCTCTTCCTTCTACTTTTAAAAATCCTTAGTGTTTCATTGGACCTACTCAGATAATACAGGATACTCTATGTATTAAGTCGGTTATTTAACAATTTTAGTTCTTCTTTGTCACGCAATATAATATTCACAGGTTGCAGAGAATAGTAAGCATGTGAACATCCTTTGGGGGCAATTATTCTACAGTACTCAGCACATGTGTGTTTCAAAAAGCCAGTTTTCATCATGGCAACTGGAGAGCATTCTTCCTAGTGAACTGTAGAACATGCTTTACAGTGATCCCACTTCAAGGACAAGGAAGCTGGGCTATTTATTCTCCAGCTCTCTCACTCTACCATTGATTAAGGCCTATTAGGAGGGGCTTTGACTCTGTGGCAGTGCCCCGCCTGTGCTAAGAAACCTCTATTCACTGGAGAAGATCCTTTGATAACTACTTTCAGGAGCTGGGAGCTGGGAGTTGAACACTATCAAATTGGGGTGTTTAGAAATGTTGAGTGCTACGGTGACATAGGCAAGCACCAGTAAAACCTACTGTGAGAAATCATCATGGTTAAAATAAATACAAATTCTAGGTTTGTATTTAATCAAATTAATTAATAACATCCCAGATCTCAGGTGCAGTTCTTTTTAGCATTTAGATATTTGCAATTAATTTTCCCTATATTTATGACTAGGTACATATGTATGTATTTCCATACAATTAAATATTTAGGGTATTTTCAAAAGTCCTTTCAAGCTAAAAAAAGCCTTAGGATTATTTTATTCTGCTTACATTAATGATTAAACTGAGTTTATATTATTGTGGTTATATAGCTGGAGACTTGAAAAATAGCTTGGATAGGTTTAGAAGTTATTGATTCAATGGGTTGTTTATTGAGTTTATAAACATAACTTTCTGAAATAATTGTCAAAATTATAGAAAGTCAAGAATGAGTGTTGGCTGTCTACTATTTTTACATTAGGCTGACCTATAGTTGATACTTGAGTGGGAAAGAGATTTGTATTTTTTTCCTAAAGAGTTCTGTGTGTTTACTAAAGTCAGCTATCCTCTAGTAAGGAAGGCATTCAATTATAGCTGTTATATTTTTGGTACTTGGCATTGGGAATAAAGAGATGCTAGAAACATGGGTGCCTCAGTCTAGTCAAATGGCTTTCTACCATTCATTCTTCTGTTCTGTATTAATTCATAAATGGCCACTATGAACCAAAGGAGTGGGTATCATTTTTGCTAAGATTGATCAGTTTAGCTCTCACTTGAGCACTAGGCCTAATTATTAGGACATGAACAAGCCAAATTAATTCCAGAAGAATCAGGATTGTAAATAGCATGGAGGCAACATTTCTCAAGTTTGTGTTTCATGAAATAGCAATAGAGGTAGATCATCTTTCTTTTCCCTCTGTTTTGGAGAATCCCAATACACATTAGCACTTGTATGACAAAGAAACTTATTTAAATGTATTTAACCTAGAGTTTTCTAAACTCTTTTCCCTACATTTTTGGAAATACTAGTGTAGAGGTTAGAGTTAAGAATAAGAATTGAAAGAACTTGAGGACATTTAAAGGTGGAACCTCATGATTATTTTCATATTTTATTTCATATTAAAGTGTCAGAATGATTTATTATATTCCAGAGAGTCAACAGGTGTATTGCACTGGAACAATGCATTAAAGACATGTGAAAGAAAATTAAGATCAACACTGGGGAGAGATGCTTTATTTAGAACCACCCAAAGAAGGAATGGGATGTCTAAGATCAGAATCATGCCCTGGTCATTGGAAATATCCAAGCCAAAGTCTTAGGACCATTTGAATGGGTTTTTACAGAGGATCTCAAGACTTGAGGAAGGAGTTGAGCTACATGACCTTAAAGCCACTTCCAGGTTGGAGATTTTCATGATTTTATGATGTAGGCATAAAGGTAGCCCTTACTTGACACCAACATGAGACCATGGTGAGCCCAGAGAGCATAAAGACATAGGTAACACATCAGATAGTAGGAACAAAAGAGAAATCGAATAGGTAGTAAAATCGTTATGTTCTCCAGGCTATATCATCATTGCAGGAAGCCTTCCAGTTTCTGGCCAGCCAACTGCAATTTAGGAGGCACATGAGTTTATTTTTATGTGACATGCTAATTTAAATAATGCCCATTGATAAAATGGAGTATGTGAATTTAATATTATGAAATGCTATCAGTTTAAAGCTTAGTCATTTATAATTACAGTACTTTTTCTTTGTCTCTTGTCTAAAGGAATGTAATTTTGTTACTCAGAATTGAAGCTTAAAATGATTCAATCTTCTTTTTTTATTAGTACATATTTGCAGTGCATAATGATCACATTCATCATGGGAAATTTGTGCATAGACATAATAAATTTTAATTCTTTTTTGTCTCCTTTCTCTCCCCTCCCTTCTACCCTTCTTCTTCTCCTAACTTGCAAAAGCTCTATTTCTATTTTTCCTTCAACTCTTTTTTCTTTGAAATCTCCTTTCACTTCCTTCCCTACCCCCTCCAAATCTCTTGTTCCTCTTCTCATTTGAAAAACGTCTTCCTACTTACTGATATCTATCTTCTTTTTTTTTTTTTAAGGGATAAAAGTTTTATTTAGCTCACAGTTTGTAGAGGTTTCAGTTCATATCAGCTGGCTTCAAGGCAGGGTGGCACACAGCAGAGGAGCAGCAGTTCTCAGTCCTCTGTTTTCCTGCTTGTTTATACTCTGCAATTCAACATCTTTTGAATTCTCTATTGCCATTTGAAAATAGGAAGTTTGTTGGAGCATTCCCTCTTAAGGGATATTTATTGCAGAGCAGTTCCTATAAGCTTCATTGTTCCTTCTGTAAATTCATTCAGTCAGTGGCATTGAATGAGGGTTGTAGAGGACTGAATATTTGTTCTCAGGCATGAGGAATCTGGAAAAACCTAACGTTGCAAGCTGCACAGTGATAGCTACTGCTGCAAAAATTGGCACTATGTAAAATTACAAGTTTGTTCCACACTGCTATGATAGCCTTATGATTGAAATGCATAATTTTACTCTCACTTCTTTAATGAAGGTTCGCAATAATGGAAAAACAGTAAGAAGTATTTTTTTCAAATGCAAATTACCTTGTAGGAAAGAAATAACAAAGGAAAAAAATTGCCACCAAGGGGAAAAATTAAATCTTACAGCACTTCCTTGGGTATAGTTGAGACAAACAATTAGCATGTTAAGGATCATTATGTCCTGTAATAACATGTTGGTTCAAAAAATTTCTGTTCTTTCCAGTTTTGGGTCCTATTTATTTGCTGGGTGACTTTGATGTTGCGTGTCAGGAACCAATGGTGGCATATTTTTAGCATAATTTCAAATCTCATGAAGAATCTTTACATTAAAGATTTTTAATTGTCTATGGTTCTCAGCCCCAGGTTAAATGACTTAAATATCTTACCTATAGATCTGCCACTTTCAGGACACGATAAAATTAATCATCAGTTAAATCAATACTAAATTTCTTACTATGTATTAGGTACAAATAATTTAGCAGTGAAGAAATTGACAAGTTTTTGGTTTTCTTGGGAGCAATATTTGAGAAAGAATATTCTGGACACATAGGAATGGAAACCTTCTGTGGATTTCTTCACATATGTGTACTTTGTCTCAGTTCTCTATTGCTACAGAACAAAGCACCATCAAGCAACCATTTATGGGCTCATGATTCTGCAAGCTGAAATAGCTTGTCTCTCCTGCTTGTGTGTATTGACTGGGGTAATTCCATAGGACTGAAAGATCTACGGCAATGACAGTGAACCTTTTAGAGACCAAGTGTCTGGACTGCAATCTAAAACCCACTTATTTATCACAAAGTGCCAACACTTACATGAAGTTTGAATACTGAGTTTTAGTTTAGAAAACACAACTCATACATTAACATCTTTTGTCTTAAAAGAAAGACATAATAACACGTGTGCCATAGGTTTGCCACAACTGATCTAAAATGACTTCACTCACACATTGGGTTGGCTTTTTTAAGTTGTGTCTGGCAAGGCCTCTCTTCTTTCAGAGTTTCTCAGCTTTTGAAATCTCTCCCTGGCTTCACCTGCCTCTTTCCTTCCAAATGGGTAGTCACATTTCTTTTCCTTGTGCCAACTTCTAAAACTGCAAAAAATGCAACCTGCAAAGGTTCCTAAGGCCTGGGCCCAAGAGTGACACCTGGCCGCTTCCATGGTATTCTGCTGATCACAAGTTCCAAAGCCTTTCCAGATTCAAGAGCAATGATTCTTTAGATTGTGCCAATTTCTAAAAGTGCACAAAAAGTGAACTGCAAAGGTTCCTAAGGCCTTGGCCCAGGAGTGACACCTGGCCCCTTCCATAGTATCCTGTTGATCACAAGTTCCAAGGCCTTTCCAGATTTGAGAGCAAAGAAACGGATCACCCCTTGATGGGAGGTGGAATTATTGGTGGCCACAGTTGTATATAATCTGCCTGTTTCATCATAGGTAAAGATAAATAAATATTGCAATGCCTTTTCCAAGGCTGACGAGGGCTTCACAGTCTTTGTTATTCAGTTCTCAGCTTGTTTGCCATAGTAACAGAGAAATAGGATTACCTTTGAAAACAGAGTGATTGTTTTTAATCACTACTCTAGTCCTTTTTCTGACTACATTTGGAAAACAATTTAATTTCTAAGATTATAGTGACTGTCCAAAGTTTTCAGATAAAAAGTATAGAATCCACTGACAGAATCTTTTCAAGCTCTATTTTAGGTGTTCATAAGTATAAAATATTGCCAGAATGTATATAGAATCATAGAAAACTTAAGAATTGGAAAGGACTTTAGAAAATCCCTTTCACAACCCTAATTTCACAGGGTAAGATACTGAGTACCATACAAGGTTATGGTGACAATTTTAGAATTTATACTTTGTCTATTTCAGTTAGAAGAGTATGTTTAGATAACTTGTTTTATAGTTTTATGGGTATGGTTATTTCATTGTTGGTATTGTTATGGTACTAGAAACAGACTATCTTGGATTTTCATTGAAAAATTAAAGGATTATGCTCTCACATTAATGTTTATAATTTTCTCCAAATTATGTATTTATGACAGATCTCTTAGTTATGGTGCTATAGGAGTAATTGTTGGACATGAATTTACACATGGCTTTGATAATAATGGTAAGTACTAGTTCATTTTGTAAGTTGCTACTTTTATAGCAATGTTGACTATATGGAGTTAATTGTTATTATCTTTCATAGCAGCATCCTTATAGATTGAAGATTGTCCAAAGCAATATGATTGCCAATTAAAAGCTTTTCCCCATCTCTTCCTATGATAGAATGTAGTAAATAGACAATTCCAGTTAGTGATCGAATACAATTAAAAAAAGATTTTATAATTTCAATTACATTGTTTGCATTTAGATCAGGATTGTTGCACTTGCCACAGTAGTTACAGGAATTGCATTATAACTTTTTTCTTTTGTCATTTTTTTGATTCACCGTCTTGAGATGTTCTCCCTGGATGTGTGAGTTCTGCCCCAATAATGACTGTACACACTGCACTGCCAAGTTAGGCCTCTGGAGCTTGGCTGACTTGTTCTTTTATTCAGTTTCAAGGATTATGCAATGCTTAACCTCTATTTTTCTTTGTATTGGCATATATTCTGAATTTGTTTTAAAAAGGCTTTGTTTGCCTAATATTGCACAATATATAATATACTGTGTATTCTTATGATGTTTAAACAAAAGAAAGAGCATAATACAGCCTCAACTAAAAATATGCTTGCTTTGAGTGTCCTCATTTTTAATCAGTGCTCCTTTAACTTTGGAGTATTATTGGAAAGCCACAGAAACCTCTGAAGCTTATGAATTAATATTGAACTATTATGCATCTACATTCACACAGTGATTTATCGGCAGTCTCAGGAGCCCAGCTGGTCTAAGAAAATGTTGTCCAAAAGGAGATATCTTTCTATCATGTGTGTAGTATCTCACATGATACAGATACTGACTCCTGGGCTAGAGACACTTTGGGTTCTTTTTCTTCTGGTCATTTCTTCGTGCACCCTTCCACCAGCCCTTAATCACTTAGTGTTTTGCTCCCTTGTCCACCACCTCCCTGATAAAAAGTTGCTGTCTTGCAATCACCTGACTCCACATACTCTTACCTTTTGATGTTTGGTTTACTGAGAGGACTATCTTGACTAAGAAAGAAAAGAAAATGGTGCTTGTCTTAGTTACTTTTTCATCACTAGGACACAGCATCCAACACCCACAACTGCAAGGAGATTTATTTTGGCTGAGAAGAGATTTATTTTGGCTCATGATTTCAGGGTATATGGTCTTATGACTGCTTTTAAGGCAGAAAGGACATGGTAAGGAGGTCTGGTGGAGGAAAGCCAATCACATGATGGCATCCAGGAAGCAGAGAAAGAAGGGAGGAGCTGAGGAGGGAAATGTACCCTTCCAGATCATTTCTCCAGTGACTCACCTCCAGCAAGGCCTTATTTCCTGATGGCAAATCAGCTATGAATGCATTGGTGGATTAATCTACAATTGGGTCTAGCATTCCCATGATGCACTCACTTTCCTAATATTCTACATCTGAACACATGAGTCTTTGAGGGGATAATCTAGATCTTAAATCATAACACTGTACAATTGTTTCTGAACCTTTCTTCCTAGGAAAGTTAAGTAAAATTCTCTGCTAAAACCTTCTAAGACTTCCTGATATCTCTCCCAAATAACAGAATCGAATGGTGACAGGTGGTAACTCCATGTTGCAGAATTCCAGGCAGTGATGGCAGTAACATGCAGACTTCCTGGGGAGCTTTGAGTTGTTCCAATCAATGCCTTTGAATAAGGAGCTTTCTTATAAGCTCCTTCTTGTACAGTTTCCTTCTTAGGAGACTCTTGCTTAATGGACATTCTTTTTTGTATTACTGGGAACACATAGGGGACATTCTTGTGGATTCTCTGCGTAATTAAATTCAATGCATGCCCATGACTCCAATTGTAACTTTGAATATAGAAGATAGTCTAGATACACCCAAACCACTGTTTTTAAGATTGTAGAGAAAATGAAAAGTGAGTGAGCATGTAGCAAGAAATCATGTATAACTAATCTTTTTTTTCTCATTGTGTTTTGGAGATTTCCATTCTTGTTTTTAGAGCAGCCATCCTTGTCTAAGGAGGACAGATGGGTCTTCCATCCACACTGATGACTATAGAATGATTCATAACAGAAGTTTTATGTGTCTCTTGGCTCCTGGCAACTTGGAAGAAATAGATTCCTATAAGGCTGAGTCAGGGTGTATGATCCTACGGTGTGGATGACTCACCGGGGTCTATTCCTATGGATTGTTTGGAATTTCACTGGCAGTCACACTCTGGATTTCTCTATGGATTTCTTGAATGAATCCATTTGATTTTATGATCCAGAGGCTATTTCGGGTCAGATCAGGTGAAAACACAGAATTCAAAATTGGATAGGACTGGTGCTTGTATTAAATTGATGAATCTCATTGGCCTTCTGTTTCTCAGGGAAGGCCTTCCTCAATCCTTTTCTTACTTTGCCCTTTTCCTACAGTTAACCTGTGAAATTGGACAGAATTTAGGAACTATTCTCGGGAAGAGTGTTCTCTGCTGTTGTGACTTCATTTTGAAAGTTTGTGTAGATAAGAGAAGGGAAAGATAAAGAATTCCTTTTCCATAAATGACACTAATGTTTTTTAACTTTCCTTTTTACTAGGTAGAAAATATGATAAAAATGGAAATCTGGATCCTTGGTGGTCTATGGACTCAGAAGAAAAGTTTAAGGAAAAAACTAAGTGCATGATTAGTCAGTATAGCAATTATTATTGGAAGAAAGCTGGCTTAAATGTGAGTATGATGTGTTAAAGGGGCATCTTGTGGGACATGTTTTTCTCATTTGGATGTTTGCTTGCCTTAGATCATTGGTTCTCAAAATGTGCTTCTGAGATCAACAACACCAGCCTTCCCTGGGAATTTTAAATAGATGTATGTTCTTGAGTTCTACCTAGACCTATTGAATCAGATTTTTTATGGGTGAAGCTTGATAATCTGGAAGTCTTTCTACAAATCCTCAGATGATTCTGAGATAAGCTGAAGTTTGAGAGTCATAGATCTGCATATTAGGTTGTTTTCCAAGATTGAGATTGATGCCAGAAATGCTGTAACATAGGTAAAGAGTCACAGTCATGTAAAATACTTTATTCTACATATCGTTTTTAAAAATTTCAATCCAAACTACTCCTTAGGTTTACTTCATTGACATTAAATCTCATTAATTTGAACTAGCAGATATGTGAGGTGATTAGGAGTTCTTAGTTATACAAATTTGAGCAAAATAAATGTACGTTTTAAATGTATATTTTCTATTATATATAATTTCATATAAGACACAAATGCAATTTTATACACCCTTTTGGTGTGTGAAATTTTGTTCCTTTCTTCTTTTGCTTTGATTTCCATCTCATTTCCCCATTCCTCCTATCATTGTACTTTCCCTGCCTGTTATCAGTGTTAATAACCCTGATGCATTTGCCCTATGCTCATATAGACACCCAGAGAACTTTACTGGATAGTTTCAGATGACTTCCTAAGAGTCCTTGATGTGAATGTATTATCACATAATTAACTAATTTCTTAAGAGGTCACACTTTCCAATTATAAACATTGCTGCAGTAAATACCTTTTGTATGCATATATTCTTTTTCCCTACAGGATACATCCTTTCTATCACCAAAAGTTATACAAAGTCTTCTATTTTCCCAAGTGATACATGAAACATTTATCTATTGAGTTATTTTATTGCCAATTTGGGACAACTTTTTAAAAAATAGTATAGATGTTAAAATGTTGTCTATCATTTCTATGTATTTTTTCTCAAATATATAACTCATCCTTTGGACTATCTTTTAACCTACAAAATCTGAGCATTTTTATAAAATCCAAAATATTTCCATCTCTTAAGAAATAGCTTCTTTGTTTCTATTTTGGGCCATCAAGATGTCCCCAGAAGCTCTGTATATTGTTTATGAAGTCCTCTATCTTTTCTGAGAAGGATTTAATTGTTTTTGTTATTTTACATTTAAATTTTCATGAATGTGAAATTTACTTTTCTATGAAATTTATATGTTTTTCCAAAAGGATAACAAAGGATAATTTATATGTTTTTCCAAAAGGATAACCAGTTGATCCAACACTATTTATTAAAAGAAACCTTTCTTCCTTCTGAGTAAAATATTTGTCAGAAATTAGGATTTTAAAAAACAGAAAGTTGAATAGTGGTCATTAGAGGCTGGGGAGAAAGAAGGAAAAGTTGATTAATGGCTACAATATTGTAGTTAGATAAAAAGAGTATGTGTTTATGTTCTGTTACATGTGGGGTGACTGTGGTTAACAATAATGCATTGTCTGAAAATAGCCAAAGGAGAGAATTTTGAATATATTCATTATGAAGAAATGATAAAGTTTAAGGTGACAGATATGCTAATTTGAACACAACACATTGTACTTAAACATCACATTTTACACCACAAATATGTACTAATGTTAAGCAAAAACAAAAATTATATGGATTTATGAACATGGGTAAGTGACACATTTGTGAAATAGGCAAGTATTTCCAGACTCTAGTTTGTTGTAGGAATTAAATGAGGAGGTAACAAACAAAATGCCTGGCATGCAGGAAGTACTCAGTAAAAGATTTTTAATGTTTCTGATCCTTTGTGGCATACTCATAGGTATCACCGTCCAGGAGAAACCAAAGAATCTGGGACCAAACTGACAATAGAAGAGCAGTTTTCTTAGAGGAAGAAAATCCATATTTCCTTGTGATTATTATCTGTAGACATGAGAATTAGATTTTTTTCACTTTACTGAAATAAATACAGCCTTTACACTGGTCCTGAGAGGTATACGTATCACTAGGTATATATATTCTACATATGAAGAAATTGAGGCTCAGAGATTAATGGTCAAGGTAGAATCAAGATTAGAGTTTAGATTTGTGTGGCTCCAGAGTACATACTCCCCTCCCCCCTATCTTATGCTCTGGTTCTCTTTATTCTGAATTCATTTCATATTTGGGTGATGTATAAGTAGACTCTCCCTCAGGGTCCATTTTCCCCAAAGTGTCACATATTAAAACTTAATTCTGACAAATATGTACCTTTGTTACAAGGATTACAGAAAGTGCATGCCTCTCTCAACATAAATCCATTCAACCATCAGAAAACAGCTCCAGTCTTAGTCTTACAGGAGCATGGGTGGCTTCCTTAGTGGTCATCGAGGGTCATGTTTTATTTTTCTGGCTTTGTAATAGCCAGTTTTCTACGTGTGGATCATTTTCCATGGTAAATTAGGAGGAGCATGGATGGTGTAGTGCAGATGCCAACAGCTGCAAATGCAGCTGTTGAGTCCTATAAGGCCTATAAGTCTACAAGTCCAGGGCTTTGTGCTTTACTGAGATGGTCTAGGGTGTGAGGAATCGGTGAAATAGGCATACTCCCAAAATCTCTGATTTAGGTATGATGCGTAGAGTAAAAAAGAAAGAGAGAGATTCAAGCACTGGAGGATATAAACACAAACATCAAAAACCAGTAGTAATTGATACTTGAGAAGGTACATAGTATCAAATAAAGTCCCTTGAGACTTGACCTTGAGTTTGAATACCTGTAAAATGTGAATAGTTCACTTGATCACTCTGTCATAGGATCACTAGAAGCGTAGCCTAAGAAATGGTATCTTAAGTCAGTGCTTTATTGAGGAAGTAGTTTAATGAGAAACCTAAAATTCAGGAAATCATGCTGGTTTTAGCAAAAGTTAAGCCTTACCTTGACCCCATAGAAGGTTCTGCCACATGAAACGCAACCAGAAACTGTTTAGTCCTGGGTTAAGGGGCTGGACTGTTCCACAATCTCCATGATGACTCCTGTAAGCTAAGTTAATCTTTTTAAAGCGTTAGCCATTGCAGCATTGGAAGCAAGACCTGGTACAAAGGGGGATCCAGTTGAGTATCAATAACATCTGGCTATACTCTGAGCTTTAAAGCCTCACTGATTAAACAAGGATGGTGACGATAAAACTTCCTTCATAGGACTGTAGTAAAAGAGAAAGAATATAAAACAGGAATGGTAACTGTGAGGAATTAAAGCTGTGAGGGTCCTTGGTGATTACAATAAATGTTTTCCAAGGGTTCATTTTTATTTGTTTGTATTTTTGACACCCGCACCATTAATCTAGCTTGAAAGGAAACAGTTGATAGTTGCCATGACTTGAAAGTTTAGAGTAGGGGATATTATATTCTTGTTGCTGCTATAACAAATTACTATAAACTCAGGACTTTAAAGCAACATAAATTTATTATCATACATTTCTGTATCTCAGATATCTGATCCTAATCTCAGTAGCCTAAAATTAAAAGGTTCACAGGACTCTGTTCCTTTCTAGGGATACTAGTGCAAATTTTGTTTTCTTGCCTTTTTTAAATTGTAGAAAAGTTAGTAGCTGCCCACGTTCTTTGGTTCATGGTTACTTCCTTCTTCAAAGCTAGCAGTGGCTGGTGGAGTCCCCTTACATTGAATCATCCTGCCATTCACTCTCTTGCCCTCTCTATTACTCTTATAAGGCATCTTATAATCACATTGGTCCAACTCTCTCTCTCAAGATCTTTTATTTAATCATATTTTAAAAGTCTCCTTTGCAATTCTAAGGTAATATTTTCACATGTTTCAGTGGTCTGGTTGTAGACACCTTTGGAAGACCATTATCTGCCTAATATATGGAGGCTGGCAGTTTTCTGTAAATAATTTAGGCTTCATAAGATATATTGTTTAAGTCATAATTGGTAAACACTGCCACAGTAGCAAATGAGCGTCACAGCTGGTGTGTTTATGAATGAACATGGCTTTGTTAAAGAAAAAAACCCCAGACCATTGATTTGTATCCACAAAATTTGAATTTAATAATTTTATGAGCTACAAAACATTACTCTTCTTTTTATTTTTCCCTAATCATTGAAAAAATTTTAAAACCCATTCATAATTTGTAGAGGTACAAGAAAAAATAGTTGGTTGGCTTTGTCTTGTGAGCTGTATTGATCTGGAATATTTTTGTCTAGCTCTTTTAAGCTTTTAAGAAGTAATTTTCAAATATTGGGAAGAATTTCTTCTCCATGCTTGACTGGGTGTCATACATATTGCAAAACTTGACCTTGCAGTCTACACTATTTCCGTTTGATTTTTTCCCCCAAGAGTGTTATCTTTCTTTTAATTTTTCATGGAAATTGCTGAAGGTAAAATGATAATGGTTGGTTTTGAAATCTAGTTTCTGTGTGGACGGCACGTTTTTGGCATATGGGCACAACGGGTTGAATACTCAAATTATGTGAGTTAATCAGAGAAAGTAATACATATATTGACATTTCTATTCCCCCTATTGAACCACAGTCACTCAAAATATCACTTTTAATTGGGGCAGAATAAATTAGTGAGAATAAAGAGAAGGGAGAGAAGGTAATGTGCCACATAATAAAATAGAAATTATTATATTCAGGAGCACGTTACTGGGGTTAGTTTGCTGTCTCACGATGTATTATGACTACCTCTGATTTACTGAATGTAACTTTGTCTTTAAAATATGATATTTTTGCTTGCTATAGTATTTATGTCTCTTGCCGAATGATAGTTGACCACAAAACACTCTTTTCTTCTTTTTTTTCCTTTGAAAGGTGAAAGGGAAGAGGACTCTGGGAGAAAATATTGCTGATAATGGAGGTCTGAGGGAAGCTTTTAGGGTATGCACGGTTACATTTGCTATAATTTAAAAGGTTAAAGTATAAAATTCTACATGGGTGCTCCTTAATATCACAGAGATGCTCTTGAGAGTTGACTATTCTAGAATATCTATAAGTGAAATTGTAGTATCCCATCAATTGTATTATACCCTATTATATTAATGGGGTTAAATTTATTTCTTTTAGGGATACAAAGTCACCCCAAATAATATTTGTTATTAAGGATCATGTATTTATGAGATCGTTTTCAGAAAGCATTCTTACAATCATATCAGAGTATACTATGGAAACCTTGGGGCTAGGTACAAATGAGTTTTCCTTGAATACAATTCTCTCTATATCCCACCTTACAATGTTCTCTTAAAATACCAAGCTTCTAGATTATGGCCAGAGGTTAGTGGTTTCCATATATTGGTTCTGTAAGAGTCTTTAATAATGTTTTCATCATCCCTTGCTCTGTGGTTAAGCATGAAACCTAAAGATATTTCATAAAGCTAAGTGCATTCACTTTAAAGTCTAAATTATTATTCAAGGTTATAGCCTTTCTACATTCTAGTTCAAATACATTTTGTTTTATAAAATCATTGTGATAGAAGATGGTAGCTTTTCATGTGAGTTGGCAAAATAGAAAATTGATAATACGTTGACCGCAAGCTTTATTGCCATAAGGGCCTTACTATAGTGTTAGATTTATTTATCCCATATTGGAATCATTTGGAAAAAAGATTTTTAATGCACAAACCCTTTGGACAAGCTTCTCTGATGCTTACTGAATGTAAAGCATTTTTGCATGTGCACCTGCCTCACTGTTAACTGAAAAGACAACGACTTGCATTTCCAGCTGTTTCCAGTTCATTTAGTACATGACAGGAGTGTATATGTAGTATTGCTGTGCTGTGTAAGAAAGCAGAGAAACCATCATTATAGAGACTCAAATATTCTGCTTTTTTCACCAGGCTTATAGGAAGTGGATTAATGACAGAAGGCAAGGAGTTGAAGAGCCTCTCTTACCAGGAATCACATTTACCAACAACCAGCTCTTCTTCCTGAGTTATGCTCATGTGAGTAGAATGAGGAAGACACATCAGAAATGGAAAGTGGGACTTCAACTCACATCCTTGGTTAAAGATTTGAAACAAAAGTTTAACGTTATGATTGATTTTTTTTTTTAAATTGGTACCGGGGATCGAACTCAAAACCATGCGCTTGCAAAGCAGGAGCTTATGCTGCTGAGCCAAATCCCCAGCCCAATGCCATGACTGATTTTAACTAAAATTTTATCTGGATGATTGTTTTCAAGATAAATTTAATCTTCTAAAGTTCTATGGGACATAAAATGATTCCCCAATTAAATGGAGATTTATTGGTGCTTTTTAATCCAGTAGGTTACCAGCTCTGTTGACTCAATTGATGGTTCTACAGTATGTCTTGGCTTTTAACATATTCAATCCTATTTGTAACCATTTCTAGTAACTTACTCTGGCTTTCCTGGCAATGCCTTTTCCTATGTTTCTTTTTTCCTTTTTTTATTGCTTTATCCCATCACTCAATCCATGGCTGAGTTCCCAAATGTCAAATGAACATTTCTAACTGGAGCAGAAAAGGGAACAACAGAGGAAAAGAGAGTCATGCCATTCTTTTATGAGTTTGATATGTTCTTGGAGCAGAAATTGAAAGGAACATGTGAATTAAGTAAAGTACAATTCTGAATTTGAGTCTCTGGATAGTGAGGCCAATACCAATTCTTTATTATTGCTTATGTCACAAATATGTAGGCAACATTTCCAAAGAAATAAGTAGTAATGGGTAGATAAAGGTTCTAACGCATGATCTCACAGTGGGCAAATGCATATGTATATGGTCAAAGCTAACTAAGTTTTCATTTGTACAAACTTTTGTTCTCAAGTCTTTGTGTTCATTAATTAGCAAGCTTATTCATCCATAAATCTTGAATAATCATTTCTAGATAAGGGATTCCCATCTGTCTGGGTACCCTTATTTCTTGAAACTGACAGGATAATACCAAACCAACTATCAATGATCAACCTGATGGCAAAAACAATGATAGCTATAAACAAAATGATTTTTCTTTTCAGTTTTCCTACCAATATGCTCCAGTCTTTGGAGTTAGCCTAGACTCTCGATTTAAAAATCAATTTTAAAATTGATTTAACTGTCCTCATTTTATGATCTGTGTCCCTAAAGCTAGACCTGTAGTCTTTTACATGTTTTTTAAATGCAGCCTCTCCTTCCGTGTTTGAAGCATCCTAGGTCACTGTAACAGGGCTAGAGACAGGGCTGGTTTTTAAAAACAGTAATGTATTTCTCATAGTTCTGGAGATTGTAAGTCTGAGTTCAGGGTTCCTGCAGTGTCGGGTTTAGGTGAAGGCTATCTTCTGGACTGCAGACTACTGACTTCTTACTGTGGCTTTGTGTGGTACAAAGAGCTAAGTAGCTCTCTGGCCTCTTATAAATACAGGACTAATCTCACTCCCGAGGACTCCACTTCCCTGACCTAATACCTCACAGAGGCGCTACTGAAATACAACTTCTATTTTATTACTGACCCTCCAGAAGATTCTCAAATTCCTGTCATATTGAAGCCAAACACCTCCACTGGGATTGCAGTGTTCCTAGTCTGATCCATCTCTAGCTGATTCACTTTAATTTCTGTTGGAAGAGAAAATTATGACCTTAACCAGGCGGCTCTCCTCACTTCCAACCCATGTTATGCTCATTACTGTCTCTGTGGTTTTGCTTCTGATTTGCCTGTTATTATATGTTCCCCTTCCTACTTAGCCCCCTCATAATATTCAGTTCTAGCTTCAACCTCATCAAGGCTCACCTCCTCCATATCTTTCCGTCAACTTCCCCAAGGACTCCAGTCTTCATTATTTTCTTTTATCTCTATCTCCTTTTACACTTCCCTTCCTTACAATGCAATTGAGTACTTAATTGCTTTCAAAATGTTCAAGATTTTTAGTTTTTTTCTCCACAGCTAATCTGAATCCTTACACCTTCTATGTATCATTGAAGCACCCAGCAAAGGTGTTGATACATTGCATACACTTGATATTTTTCCACCAATTGCTTGAAAAGGACTAAGACTAAAAAATTTTAAGGAAGGGAACTTCCTTTTCAGTTAGCACTGGGTCAGATATTAAAATAAGCATACACAGGAAAATAAAACTTCCCAGGGTTGGAGGTGTCAAACTGAGGCCAAGTATAGCCTGTTGTCTGTTTTGTAAATAATGTTGCAATGGAGAGCAGCCACATTCTTTCACCTATCTATAGTCTGTCTAGTTTTTGGTTAAAAGTGGCAGAGCTGAGTTGCAACAGGGACTTGGTGGTCTTCAAAGCCTAAAGTATTTACTATGCATCTTCTTGCTATTTACATCCTAGTCCATAGATGAAATAAACTAATTGACAGTGATGTTATAGTTATGAATTTAAAATGTTTTTATATGATGCCAAACATTATCTGACATATTTTAAGCTAAACATATTTGGTAAAGTTGGAAATATTTTTTATCACTAATGATAAATGTATCTTGGAACTTTTCCATTGACAGAGTGAAATTTTCAATCTTTTGCAAATAGGAATAAGGTTGCATATATGGAAGAAACTTAATTTCCCTCCTGGGAAATTACTAGGGAGATAGCAGCAGCAACAACACGTTTTGAAAAATCTCTTAATTAATTAACATAGGAAAGATGGTATAGTATTCTATACCATCATGTAAAAATATAAGCAGAAATAACTTAAGAACAGTGAAGTAAAAGAAAATGCTGAAAACAAGTTCACATTAGCTAACTTCTGAGGAGATTAAGGAATTGCTTTACAAAAACATCTTCCAAATCAAATTTGAAAGCACAGTGACTACTATCTTCATCAAAGGCAGTAGCATCGTACCACGTTAGCTGCTTCCTGTATCCCTGTAATTGCTATGATCTGTAGATTCCTTTTTTTCAGGTATTCTTCTCATTCTCCTTTCCATTTCCATTTCTACTTAATTAGTGGGCATTCACTTCCCATTAGTAATCTTCAAATGAGTCAGATTTCCTCCTCCTACACCATACACCCTTGCCAGATAAGTTTTTTAAAAATATGTACTTTATTTTAAGCATTTTGACCTGTTGTTCAAGACTTCAAAAATCTGGTACCATCCTTTCTCTGGTCACTGCCCATTATACCCATGTATTCCAGCAAAGTTGAGTGTCTTGCCTTTTCATTCCTTAATCATTTTCTCATTTGTCCTTCCACTTAGAATATTCCTCCATATTCTCGTGTCCTAGTTATATTCATATTTTAGGATCACGTCGTAGTTTGCAGCATATCAAGTCAGGATTAAGCAGGTTATGCTATAGAAATAACACAATGAAAATGTGTTTCTTGTTCATACTCCAAGCCCAATGTAGATTAGCAGTGGAGCTCTGCCCATAGTTTTCATTCAAGGGCCTGCTGTGTTTGGGTGTTTTGTATTAACAGGTGCTTCCCTGGTTACAATAGGAATAAGAAAGAAATATGAAGAAATGTGCAATCAACCTTAATGTAGGATCTTAAATTGTACTAAGGCCCTTCAAACTTCGGTCAGTTTCTTTGAGTTTCAAGTGACACTTATCAATTCTGCTCACGTTCCTTTGCTCAAAACAAGTCAGATAAGCATGCCTAATTATCAAAAGAAATAGAGAAGTATACTCCTTCCCCAAGCCCAGACTAGGGCAAGGCAACTGGGTTCTCAGGGAGCAAAATTATAACTTTTCATAACCATACTGTTGACAATTACTGATGGCTTTGATTCAAAGGAGTATGGGTAAATGTGATAAGAGCTATTAAAAGGACTAAATTAAGTTAATGCATACATTGTTCGATTCCTGGGCACATATATGATTGTCTTGATTTAGAGGACTTGTCTGAAAGCCTTCTTAATTTCCCCAAATTGTGGAATTACTCACATTGATAAAATCATCTAACCTGAGGATTAGAATAATAGATGTTGCCACTGATGAAGTTTTTCTCTGAACTGCTAAAACTGTTTGTCATCCACTGATTGCAAAATTTCAGTATAATTTGGAACAGTTACAAAAGTATGAAAGGTGTGATTGGAGTGGAAACATATTTACTGGAATGCCTTTGTCTTCTAGGTGAGGTGTAATTCCTACAGACCAGAAGCTGCCAGAGAACAAGTCCAAATTGGTGCTCACAGCCCCCCTCAGTTTAGGTAAACAATTACATGGGTGACACCAGTTTTTAACTGTGCATCCCCCCTCGTTCCTCTGCCCCAACTGAATGCAGTACAAAAGCCTTTATTGTGAACCATGAGATCTTGCTTTGCAGACAACAAAATCTGATTGTACAAAAACTAGTGTCTTTTCTTTCATTAAAAGTAAACTGGTTTAATTAATACTTTTTTAATTAAATTTCGTCTGATAGCCACTAGTAACACTTCTAGTTTTATTTCACATAAAGAGATATGTGAGTCCCCAAGAGTAATTTGGAATCCAAATCATAACTTTAGCATTAAATTTCATTTATCATCTTCTACTTGTTGAAAGGTAGTAATCTGTAGATGCTGGGTGCTCAGGAAACTGGAATACCCAATTTACCCAACTTTTTTTTGGGGGTCTAGGCCAACAAATAGATTTTATTGTCTCAGCAGAGTATGTGAGCTGATGTACTCTTTAAAATTCCCAGAATTCTGGTTTATTTAATATAAAAGAATATGTTATTTAATACTTATTTTTTCCTCTACACAACCAACAAATAAAAATGAGTATTTTCTGAATAGCTGTAAACACAATGGAAGATGTATCATGATACTTAGCAATTATAATTCATATCTCTGAGTCAAGGACACTACATTTTGGTTTTTCTTTACATCAAGTTTTGAAATAATTGTTTACACATGAAGGGAAAAGGATTATGAATTGCAGTCTTAATGGTCAGAATGTATAAAATGTTATGCAGAAACAAAATTTAAGCTGATATTACTTACCCTGTGCTAGAATATATAGCTTGAGAGAAAATTTCAATGAAAGGGGGTAGATAATTATAATAAGAAATAATAATTTGTTATTCATTAGTTGCTTAGAACATATTAACCTGGATATCTTTACATTTAATATTTAAATGAATTCATCAGCATAGTGTGAGAGCATCATCTAACTTTTTTTTTATATTTTAAAATCTTATTTTTAAAACCCTTGGCTTAGAAATGCTTCAAAAACTGCCTCTAAATTACCCACTAGCATAAAAATCTAATCAGTGTGTTGGAAATTCTCCCCCACTGGGCTAAACTGTCATGAAAGCTGACAGTTTCTAATAGACTAAAATATGCTCCCACTGACAAATGGTGTGCAGGAAACCACACAGTAGATTAATTACTCAACAGATAAGTTTTTAGAAACTAATTTCCTTTTACTAACTAGTTGCTTATAATGTTGGATTTTAGCTGACAATTTACAGAGTATGCTTGCTAATTATCAGCTATATTCTATCTTTAACACTTGCCTAAGGTGAATCGCATTATGAAATATGCATTGCTAGCCGTATATCCTAGCTAAAATGCAAGAGGTTATGAGGATTTGGTGGATATAGGCCATTACATTCATTCAAGTGCCCGTAGGTAGCAAAGTCATTAGAGAAGAAACAGTGACTGAGAATACTGAATTTCTAGTCAACATGCAGTTGAGTAAGAAATGCATGAGGGAGATTTTTTTTTGCCTGAGTTGTTACTGATATCTGCACTAACTACAGATTTTGAGGGCAGTGAAAGATCACACAGTGGAAATACCATTCCCAAAAGGCAGTTACAATCAACGTGCTGAGTAGGAATTTGCAGTCTTTACTGCAATGTGGAACTTTCAAGAACAACCTATGTTTAGAAATAAACTCCAGTGGAGAATTACTCTTTTGTAACAGCTGGACATTATTCATTAGTTGATTGTTATGTTAACCAAATTCTAGGTAAATATGAGCCTCTAAATCGAATGGGAATTTAGAGAGTGTTTTTTATAGATAGATTGAATGGACTATTTAAATATAGTTGGAAATGCAGCAACATGAATGACTCTTACAGACATTACATTGAGTGAAAGAAGTCCAAGACGAAGACTGAACTGTGTATTATTCTATTCATATGAACTTCAAAAGCAAGCAAAGTTATGGTGATAGAGGTCACAATAGTAGTTATCTTCAGAAAAGCTCTTGGTAGGGGACATGTGGGAGACTTCAGGGTGCTGGGAATATCCTATGTCTTGATTTGAGTGGTAGTGACATAATTATACATGGAAAAATGAATAATTTCTGCATTTAAGACTTGTGTAGTTTATATCAATTGTACTTTCTACAAAAAGTTAATTTTAAAATATGCTTAAAGAATGTTGGAAGAGTCACAGAAGAATATGGTTGGCATTCAGGAGATGCCATTAATTTCCTTGGAAATTAATGATTGGAGATTTTATGTTTGAGAACAGATTAAATGCATGCCAAGATCTTTTCTAGCTTTATTCTGTCATAGTTCCATCTTTTGATGTGCATGAATTGAATAACATATGTGTTGCCATGTCCTTTTTCAGGGTCAATGGTGCCGTTAGTAACTTTGAAGAATTTCAGAAAGCTTTTAATTGTCCACCTAATTCTACAATGAACAGAGGTGCAGACTCCTGCAGACTGTGGTAGCTGAAGGTTTGATTTCTGCCATCCTGAGACAGCTGCCTGGTGCCAGCAGAGGCAGCACTGAGTACTCATCACCCACTATTTTAGCTCTGCATTTCTCTGAGAACTTTCATTTTTAGTGCGTGTTCATTATTTGGGTAGATAACTTGCTTGGATCTAAGCAGTATCTGTTCAGAGTGATAGGGTTTCAAAAAGGGAGTACATAAAATGAACCAAGTATGCTTCTTTAGAAAACCAAACCAACATAAAACAAATCCCTAGATTACGTTTGTTAAAAGGTGATCTGCTGAATTGTTGTTATTGTCAATTTTAGTATGTTAGCCACAGCTAGGTGGTACATATAAATTCAGTCAATAGCTTTTCAGGGTGCCTACTTAGAATAGGACCAGAAAAATATTCATTCTATTAAACTTCTAATTTTCAATGATGCCGACATGTGTATGGACACTTGGAAGGCCTTGCTCTCTGTGGAACACAGTGCTAGATTTATTACATGGATAGTCATGGCACACTATGTCTTAACTCTAAGTTAAATAAGTAATGTGTTGGGTTTCTATTTTACAATTTTTAAGGAAGTCCTTGCCTTCAGCTATGGAGTCTACTGGAGTAAAAACATGGCTTACATCTTGTAACTGATGCCACTGATCACCCTGTGCAAGTCAGCATGGAAAAAGATGGCAGAAAGTCTTAGGTTAAGAGATTTGAATGGAAGCAAAGAGATCTATCATTAAGTCTCAGAATAAGTAAACGTTCCTAGTCATGCAGCAGGGAAGCTAGGAGATGAAATGTCCAAATGATTTTTCTAGTCTTATGAACCTCAGTGATCATCTGTCTGCTGAACGCTGCTCTTTAGTCCATTTCCTTTTAGGTTCATTACTCTTGCATGTGTGAATTCTGCTCCTTATGCAATGAGCAGATGCTGAGAAAAGGATTTTATGGTTTCCCATTAGGCTCATGTGGCTTTCGTTTCCCTTTTGTGCAAAGGGATAAACAATGCATTGAGGAGGGAATAAATGGCCTTTTATTAACATTGCATCACATTAGAAGAAAACTATTTTTAAAATTATTGATTGAAGAAACCTTAGAGTCAATATAAAATTACATGCATAAACCTAAGCAATATAAGTTTTACTTTTTAAGTCTTTTAAAGATTCTGTATGAAAGAACAGTACTATGTGTTTGCTCTTTACAGCATTAGCTTTTTAGGTGAAACCCTCTATCTCTTAGCATGTGGGTGTGTTTGTTAGATAAAATTCTAATAGCATTAAAATGCTCATCTGTCATTTTTTGTTTCTTAATTTCCACCCCCAAATCATTATTCATTGTGTATGGTGCTGGGTTAAGTGGGCCAATAGGCAACTCTCAAAGCAAAATGACAAATTCATACTAACCACAGGAGTTTGTTTTACATCCCTGTGACTTGTCATTTCAACAAATATAAGTATGTGCCTTGTCCTTTTGTAACCATGGGAACTTCTGAGCAGAGAAAAATTGAGGGGCACCATCATGAGGAAAACAATTACACTACATTAGTCAGAGGAGAGTGATTTTCCCCTTGACTTCCTCCTCTCCAAATGGAGAAACTTGTGAAGGGCAGCTACCTTTATCTCCTATTAGCCATGGCTTTATGTGACCTTAGTTTATATTTCTAAAAACAAACAGTATTAGGTCAAAGATGCTGGAAATATATGTGCCTTTTATCTGGAGTAAGCATCTGACTTGATTTAGACATAAAACATATTCCTTTTTCCCCCTCGCATGTGGGCACTTAATATTAGCTAAGGTTTGTCACGCTTACATGAATAGTGTTTTCCTGCTAGGTTTCTTTTTAAAGCTCCAAATAAACACATTCCTGCAGGCCAGAGAAAGTGTTTGATAAAAACTTAGAATTATGACTTTGGAAGTAAAAATCATTAACTCACGTGGCCCAGGAAAATAGATTCTGCATGGCAGGGTTACCTTGTCCTAATTAACTTGACTTGATGTAACTTTGTTACTGTAAGTTGCATATAGGTTGGTGATTATTACAACAAACCAAAAGTAGAAATATTGAATCATTAACTATGAGCTAGAACAATTTTCTAGAAGAATTGGGTTTCCAAATGCTTATGTTTAACTCTTTAAATTACAGTCTGCTTGTCCTTTTCTTCAACACAGACTGCTATAAAATAGTCACTGATTAAATGGTAAAGGGATGAAGATGAATGCAACTGGACGGGAGGGAGAAGCTGGTCCAAGGATGTGGCATTGAAGAGAAGACAAGGATTTGACAATCTTTGCTAAGCATATCCACTGGAGGAGAGCCATGAAATTTTACAAAAATAATTATGGTAAATTAAAAGGAAATTAGATATTAGATCTCAGTCTAGAGATGCAGTAACATACTTCCCTGATTCATGTACCAGATATTCTGCCAGTGAACTATTATCTGGGCAACGGAAGGACTTCCTTTTCGTGAAAAGTTCCTGGATTAGTCAAGGGTTCTCTCTACATGAAGTGACATATCATCATTGCCCAAAGTTTGCTGAGCTTTTCACCAGGTGTTCAGCATTGGCCTCCTATTTCTATTTTTTTCCTTTTATGAGATGGACTGCGACATGACTAACACAAGCTCAGGACTTATAAATTATCCTGCAGTTTATTAAGTGCCTTGCCTCAATGGAGCTTAAAGCATAGCACATAAATTTTATCTTATTTAGCTCTGCAGCATTACTAAGAAGGAACTAGGAACCGTGCCTTGCCAGACACGTTATATTCATGCCAAAGAAACGGAGAAATTTGACTTTTTGTCAAGAATCTGAGTCTGAAAATGCAGTCTTTATGCTTTGGGCTACTGACCTTTAGATTAACCTTCATCATTTAGATTATCCTATTTTTCAATACATTTACTTAATTAGTATAATCAAATAGCATTTAATAGACTATTCCCTTGATATTTTTAACATAATGCCTTCACTGATTTTTAAATTATGGAATAATACATGATTGTTTCATACAACAACATCTGTATCACCAGTGGCAGTACTCCCCAGGTTTGAAATAGATTTTCTGGGATTATGCACCTTTTATCTAAATGGTCATTGTGATACTAGTTTGGTTATGTTTTCTTCCCTTGTAAAACAATAAGAACAAACATTTTAAGGACAATAAAAGTTGATTGAAGACAGTCTGTTTCTCTTCTTTTTAAAGAAAAGATACAAAAATCTGCTAAATCTATGAACATTCTGTTCTGTTTTATACAATATTTGCTAAAAAGGTATAGAAAGTGCTGTAATATGTGAGTTTTCTCAGTTTAGGAAAGTGGGATTTGAATGCAATAACTTTCTCCATAGTCAGTGAGAGATTTTCAAGGTGGTCTTTATATTTTCTTCTAGAATGTATGTCAACAGATGTGGTTTAATGCTTTTATCGTAGAATTCCTACTGAGGAAAAAAGGATACTTCCAAGGAAATTATCAACTGTGATTGGGCCAGTCTAATAAAAGTGACAGTGAACATTATAGATTTTATCAAATTAAAGAATCTCTATATGCTATCATATTCCTTTAAAAATCTAGTTGGATTTATAGTCTTTCAATCAGCACATAATAGCTGAGAACTCATTATCTTTAAATGAGCAAAACCAGCTATATTGAGGTGGACAATATACAATCTCTGGCTTCAGATAACAGTCTAGTCTAACATGGGAGATAAATACGTAAACAATTATAATTATCCTATTAAGTAGTGCATGATGATCTATAAGTACTGTAGAGTATGGTTTGGGATGCAGAGAATGAATTGACTGTTTCTTTGTAGAAACTGTTGATGCTCACTCTGCCTAGATCTCAGCAAAGTCTTTGGACTGAGGCCCCTGACTCACATTCTCTGTGCTTTTGTTTCTGATTGGCTTGACTCTGGATTCATTGTCTTCATACTATAAAGCTTCTTTGTCCAGTGTATTTCAGAAAATTAGAAAGGCTTGGTGAATCTGAGACAAAGGCTGGGTAAATTCAGAGCTCTGAAAAACTTCAGTATCTTGCCTGAGTCCAGATGAATTCATAAGAATCTACTTTTTGTGATCCTGGAGATAGAACCCAGGGCTTTGTGTGTGCAAGGCAAACATTCTGCCAAATGAGCTACACCTTCAGCCCATAAATACAGACTTTTGTTTATTATTTTAAATGATCTTTATGGCACTGGATGTTTTGAAGACCTGGAAAAGTGCTGGCTTGTAGGAAGTTAGGCTAGCTCATCTATGGGAAACAGACATCAAGTGATGTAAAATTAGTGGGTAATTAGTGGTGGCTATTGTCAGGTGACAAAACTCTTGGAGAATTCGCTCTACTTTTTAGTTTTGTTTCTGGGTTTATGAAATAAGAATTTTTGTGTGTAAAGAGAAGACGCATATAAATAAGAGAGCTTATAAGTAATCTTTGGTATGTGGACAGAAACGAGGGGCTTTGGGGGAAATGGAAGTACTCTCCATGTATGTAATATAGATTTTAGAAGATTTAAGGGATAATGAATTTGCTTAGAATTTCAGGAATATACATAGTTGGGCCTGATAAAAATTTGGAAGGGGCTAACGTTTCCAATTAGATTTAAATTATTTACATGCCCCTCAAGTTAATTTGCTTTCTTTAGTAATGAAGATCGTATTATCAACAGAAACAGGTAGTATCAATGGCTTACCCAGCTTAAGTTTGCACTTGGTTTTCATTACATACATAATAGGTATTTATGATCAGTTAGCTTCTCTCCTCCAACTAGTGACCTGGGGACTCAGAGTCTTTCCATATTGTGATTCTGCCTTTTTTTTTTTACATGACTGAATATGTGTCCATCAGTGAAGAGCTGCTGGAGGAGAAAATGCATGAAAGAGGTAGAATGGAGGATTTTGGCTAGTCCTGGATATAGGCTGAGCTACTTTTGCTCTTTTTCCATTGGCCAGAACTCAGTCATGAGACCAAACCTAACTGTAGGGAAGGTTGTAGTCCAGCTGTGTTCCTAGAACGAGGAAATGGATTAGGATATCAGATAATACTGCAAATTGCCCCTTCTAAAGTGAAATCCAGGGCAATAACTTTGTGCTCTTCTGAATTTGGAAAATTACTTTTCAGCACAGCACAATGAACACTGAAAATGCCATTGGAAGCCTGCAGTTTATTCTGTAGGAGTCTTTTTAATTAACAGCTTAATTGGATAATTTAATCCCCTTTAGAATTGGAGATATGAAAATGAAAATGAGATACTCCCTGTGATCTGACAATACCATGCTTTAATAAACACACCAAAGTGAGCCCGGAAATGAGCACCACAAAGGCAGTGCGATAATTTGTGATCAGTGAAAGAAAACCTGATCTATAATTTTAATTATTCCTAAATGATTTAGATACATGTTTCATTTGAATGTGTATTTTGTTTTGTTAATTGGCTCAATTAAGTAGGTAACTAAATATAAGAATCTGCGGCTAAGCCATGGATTTACAATATGTTCTAAGCTTCGAAAATATATGCTATTGAGAAAGTAAATAAAATATACCATGACATAAGATATTATTGAGAGAAAGTACAATATTTTCTAATATATTAAATGATTTATATTAAATGTTTTCATTTCTCCATTGGTTATGAGATAAAAGTACTATCCTGTTCTTGTTTTATGCTTTCCATATTTAAGTGAGAAATTGAGGCTCTGAATCTAAGAAATAAAGATAAGAGTCTATGTATAAGCCACAAAATACCACTCTCATTAATTCTGGGGTAAGACTCCATTTGACAAGAAAGTTAAAATTCCCAAATTCAAGCTTCCTTAAATATATTGAGTATTATGTTCATTTCCAGTTTGGTTGAAATGCCTTCAAATGTCATAGACAAAAAGAGAAGTGTACTTTACCACCTAGAGGTACATTGTGTTAATTTCCAAGATGATTTAGAAGTCAGTAGAATCTGTATCTAGATAATATTCAAATAACTCTCATGCCCTAATAACATTTGATGAATGGGCAAAAATAGCCCAGATTATCTTTATTCTAAAATTGAACAGATTTTCAACTGGTATTTATGATTTAATTAATTGTATTTGGCCTGAAATCATGTTGAAAATATTTTCTGTTAATTGACATAATATATGTCCTAGGCATTTACCTAGGCATTCTGCCCTGTGTTATATCCAAACATTACAGCAATCATGCAGATCATTGTTGCTATTTCCACTGCACAGATAAGGAGTACTTCTGATAATTGCCAAGACCACATCACTAAGTGGAGGAGTCAAAAATCAAGTTAGTTTTGTCTGACTTTGGAATCAATTCTCTAATACTACCAGGCATTGGACAATGTTCACAAACACAATTTTGCCCTCTGACTTCCTGCTGATTTCAAGTTATGCTTCTATAGTAATCCATTAGAAAATAATGTTCCTGCCAAAAGGATTCAGTGTACTTGATGGTTGTTGAGTTTCAGAAAGGGCTGCAAAACCTGCTCTTCAAGGATAATGCTTGCTACTGTTTATCACTCACACACCCTGTTCCTGATAAGCACTAAATGCATTACTTACGTTATATAATTATTACAACAATTTAGATACCAATTACTATCCCCATTTTGTAGGTAAGGGAACCAAGGCCTGGAAAGATTAATTACTTGCCCATGTTTGCTTAACTACTAAGCAGCAATGTTGCGTTTGAATTCAGCATAGTCCAAGTGCTTCCTTAGGCAAATATATAGCTTTGGTGACTCTATAAGATTTCCTGGCAGGCTATCCCTTCAGTATGGTTGGCAGACTTCCCTGAAATTACCTTGTATTGCACTGTGCGCCCCCAGTCTCCAGGCCACTTTCTCCAGAGAACAAAACCTTTGCAACACTGCCTATACATAGTTGAGGGACAATTGCTTTTTCTTTGTTTGTCACTATTCTTCATGTAGTGGTACAGAATTTAAAAATTATGTTTTGTTTTAAAAAGGATCTTGCAAAATTGCCCATGCTGGGCTCCAACTTGTGGTCTTTCTGCCTCAGCTTCTCAGAGTGGTGGGATTACAGGCATGTTCCACCATGTCCAGATGGTCACCTTGTTTTTTAACCTTATCATAATTCTGACAGTAATTGTTTCTTAGAATATCTGAATCCTGAGTTCCTCCTGTGTTTTCCAGGGTATTATACCTTATTTCTACTGGAGTGTTTATTAGTTTTGTCCATGTGGACTTAGAAGTTTAAAAAATATATATTTTCATATGATTTTTGTGATGGGGAGAGGACATCTATATCTGAGTCCTCTATATTTAACTAAAGTTTACATTTTATTTTTTAATATGAAATACACTTTAGTTTGAAAGAATCACTGCTCTAGATAAAATCCTACAGTGAATTATTGCCTTTGCCCAGCAATGCTTGCAACTAAAATAATCTAAAAGTTCCTTTTAAACTGATGAATATAAGGAGGTTATATTTCATGCAGAAACCAATCCTATTTTTCTTCATTATTTTAATGTAACAGTGTGCATGAGCATTTGGTATTTTTCATTTTTCCTAAAGACATAACCTAGCCCTTGGTGAATTTACTTGAGATGAGGGGAATGTATCTCTGTCCACCTTGCAAAGTTGCCTGGGAATACATGTAGAAGAATACTACAGTGGATTTGTCATGAATGCTCCAGAGGAAATTTTAGCTTGTCAACAAGAGCCAAACTCAGTCCTTGGAGATCTGCATTTCAACTCTGCTTTGCAGACACACAGAGGTTCCAGTACAGATTGAGTCTGAGTTAATGCACATTGCTTGTTGGGAAGAAATCAATCAAACGCTGTTTTAAACATAAATGGTTCTTTAGGAACTAAAGTTCAGGGCCTCAATTTTATTATAAGCATGGTATAAAAACCATTTTAAAGCATCCAATATATTAAAATTACTCTAAAAACATAATAATAAAGATTCTCACTCAAGTCCACTGGTGATATTTACCACAGAATATGGGGGAAAAACCTGTCACTTAATATCTGGTTATAATACATGAAGCAGGATGCTAGCTGCATTATTGCATTTTGATTAATCCCAAACATTAAAAAATATTATAATAACAGCATAGTCATCCCTCTGGCAGAAAGCTCTTCAGTAATATTTTCATTGCATTTACAGTAAAATCCAAACAACTGACCTTGATTCAAACACTCTCCATGTCAACTTC